TCCTCTGACTGGATGGGTCAGTTTTTTAACTCAGTCCAGCCAGAAGAGACGTATACCAATTTTTCTCCAGACTAATGAGACAAATTTCTACCTCATCTTGGATTTTACTAGTGGATGATTGCGCTTTGGATTGATTATGCATGGCGAAGGGAGAGGCGGCAGTTCGCTGCCTGCCCAGTCCTCCTGCGGCTCTCTGCTTCGGATCAGGTATTTGGCTAGCATTTGGAGCCGTTGGATTTGAGACTTGGCTGTAGGCTGCTGGAGCCTTTAAACAAGGCTGGGCGGCAGGCTCTTGAAGCCGTTGGTTTGGGCTAGGCGAATATGATCGCGGCGCGAGGTGTTCACTGCTACCGGCGTCGCTGTGCCTGGGGCTTTTCCCCCGCCTCGATTACTTATGGGACGCCCGCCATTCGCGGCTTGGCTTTCTCCTTTCGTCTGGAATCCACCCACCGTTCACGGCGCGGTTTGCCCAGTGCTGGTCCACTGATCATTCCGGGAGTGCGCTGCCGCCGCCGCCGAAAGGACTCGCATTGTGGGGGTCTTGGGTGGCATTTGGCTGGCTGCAGGCAAATTCAAACTTGGCGCCCGAATTGCGGTCACCATTTTGGGACCGTTCTTTGTGCAGGCGCTGTAGGCCACAAGTTCGGGCGTTGCCTTCCTCACGCCCAAATGGGTTGCTGACTCATCGGCCCTCCCACTTCCCTCACTTCAGCTCTGATTGACTTAGAGGGAGGTTCGTGCTATCGCTGCTTCAGCAGACCACGCGGCCCGCTCTACTTGCAAAGTGAACACTGTGCTTTGTGCCTTTTGAGTCTTTTCGCAACTTAATTCATTGCAATGGCTGATCATTCTTCTTTGGGAGGTACAGTTGAGCCCTCTAGCGATAACCAGAGTGCTGCCCAGGCAGGGGTTAGTTCGAGGCCTGGCAGAGCCGCCTCTAGAGCCACCAGCCAGAGGCCCAGGGAGACCTGTGGGGCTCCGGATAAGGCCCACAAGAAAAAAGATAAAACTAAGGCAGCAACTAAAGCCTCTGGGGAGGGTAGAAATCCCCCCCCCCATGCTATTACCTCAGCGCATTTCGCCAGCTCCGCAGCCAGCAGGGCACCAGGTCTGGTCCCCTGATCGCCCCTTACCTGTTATTTCTGAAGCTGGGGCGGAGGGGTTGGGGATCCAACTCCCTTCAGTATTGCCCGAGGCCCAGGCTGCCTCGGCCTATTCAGTGCCACGTGCTGGGCCCTCTGCAACATTTACTCCCACTGCTGCAGGCCTGAGGCCTATGGAAGGCTATGACCAGGGTCTATCCCCAGATCTTTACCAGATGATATCTGCAGCTATATCCAGGGGGGTGGATGCAGAGCTGCTTCGTAGGAACCAGGAGAAATTTCTAGGTTGAATCTCTCCTTGATCAGTTTCCATCCCTTATTCCTTGTCTAGCCTTCGGGTGCCTTGGAAAATAAGCTTGACCCTCCTTCTCTCTGTGGCAGCCCGTCAAATATTGGAATATTGCTATCATGTCTGCCCTGGTCCTTCTCTTCATTAGACTAGCCATGCCCAGTTCCTGCAACTGTTCATCATATGTTTTAATGTCCTCTTTCCATATGCTGGTTGGATTACTCAAAATGTTTAAATCAGTTTAGCTAGACCCATTCATATCATGTGCACTACTCTAATATAACAGGAAATTGTGACTCACAAGCCACAAACTGCCAAATCACAGCTGATTCAAACCTAGCCATTGTTGTTTAAATATTCCATGAAATGAATGGGCTAATGAGCCCCCCAACTGCAGCCACTCTAAATGTCTCGGATAGCAAATGGAACCCTAGCCTCAGTAATCTATCTTGATTTGGGGGTAATTGAAATTCTGAGCAATGGATTTGGAAATATTTTTTTGCCTTTTAGGTATTTTACCTTTTGTTAAATTTGTTTCCTTTATCTCTCCCCACCCTCCCCTCCTTTAGTGGACAATTTACGTTACAAGTTTAAGATTGAAACCATTATCATATAACTAATACTGTGATGTGAAAAAAACAAATAATTTTATGATTGTAATATTATCATCCCGTTATAATCAATACTGACATTTTTTCTGTTCAGCACATTAAGCTATCTTAATAATAGAATGTTAATAATAATATTGTATAAACATCACAATTTATGACAATATAATAAAAAGGGAAAAATAAATTTCAGGAGAAGGGAATAGGGACAGAATAAGAAAAGAAAGTATTCAATTGGAGAAAGTGGGTGCAGAGATCTTTAAAATGCAAGACTTTGTACTTCCACACCATCCTAGTTCTTTTAGAGTTTCTTTATAATCTAATCTTATTGCCAACTGTTTAATTACAGGATCAGCTTGCACAAAGGACCTCAACAGCACCTCATGGCTATTGGTCAATTTTGCACGTTTCAGCCAATATGCCAAGTATCAAGAGTTTCTTTCTTTGAATTCCAAGTTCAGTGGTGTAAGTAATTGATTCAGTCTTTACTTCTTGGCTAATGAAGTTTCCTAAGTCTTATTGTATTTGATAAACTTTGATTTGTATCAACCATTTCCTTCTTTTTGTATGTTTTTACATTTTTTGGGTGATATTTATTTATTTATTTCATATTATTATGAAACATTTATTTCATATTATTGTGTTATAATAAGACAACTAAAGGATCTGTAATCAAGATGTATTGGAAAAAATGTTTGTAGGGAAAAGAATTAAACAAAATAAAAGCCAGGTCTATCTGCAAGTGGCCTCTGACCAGAGTAGCAATGAAGAAGCAATGAGCTTAGAGGTGCATTGTTTCTATAGAGCAGTTGCTGATGGAGGGAGACAGGAGAGCTACCTAAGAGTAGCAATAAAATAAACGGCATTGCCTCAGCGAGAACTTTGGAGGTGTCAAAGACCTCTGGCCCACAGTAGCTCAGGAACATGGCTCTTTTTCGGTTGTTGGAGAGCCCTAGAAGATCGTTGGCTTCCATGAAGCACTCGAACCGCGTCATGTAGGAATCCCAGTGTTTGGTAGCTGGGTCAAAAGGAGCTGGAGAGGCATGCATCGTCATTTTGTTCAGTCAAGCAAATTTGAACTTGCCACTCTTTTTTATGCCTAGTTGTCTTCCAATCCCACCTTCGTCACCAGTGTTAAGTTGGGTGAATGGATGAGACAGACTCCAGCTCAACTGCTCTTTATTAGAACAACTATGTACAATCCAGTGCCGCTCCGTTTGGCAGCTAGCCCTTTTATAGGGAGCTGTCAAACGGCTTGGCCAATCAGCTTCAAGTATTTTCCCGCAGTAAGTAACAAATAAAATTAGAGATAAAAGTGGAAGAAAGATTCAAGGAGAAAGATAAGACAGTTAACAAAATTTGAAATGATTATAAAAGAATGTGAGATGAATGAAGACTATATAGGGAAAGGAAGAATAGGGAAAGTATATAAAATAGTAACTGAATTAGAAGAGCAGCAAAAGGTTTAAAATTAATTTGGGAACCAGATTTGGAAGAAATAAATGATAAGGATTGGAAAAATATTTGGAATAGAAGAGTATATAAGAGTTAAGGAAAATGGATATAAAGTGATATGGAGGTGGTACCTAAAACCACATAAATTAAATCAAATAGATGGTAAATATACAAAGATTTGTTGGAGGTGCAAGAAAGTGGTTGGAACATATAAACAGATGTGGTGGGATTGTGATAGTGCACAAAAATATGGGATATGGTGTTTAGAGAAATTAGAGCACTGTTGAAGGTAAATTTAGAGATGTCATCTAGGATTGCATTACTGTTGCTCGTGGAAAAATAGAATCTAAATGAAACAAAAAATGGAATTGATTGTAAATTTGATAATGGCAGCTAGATTAGTGATGGCTAAATATTGGGGATGAAATTGGGATATTCAAAGAATAAAGAAATGAGTGGTATAATGAAATTTGGAGTATGGCAACAAATGGTAAATTAACAACAGAAATTAAATTTTAAAAAGGGATGATTAAAGTAAATAGTTATAATGAAATATGGGGGGGATGTTATAAAATAAGTGTTTGTGGAAGGCAAAGGGAATAAACCTACTCAATATATGTTCCTTTGGAGGGTGTAAGGACACAATTAGAATATATTGTATATCTTTTGGTTGTTATAGATGAAGAAATATAAAGGGGGGGGTTAAATGGTCTCCGGGGGTGGTGGTACACTATAATATTTGTGTTTTTTTCTTTTTTCTTTCTTTCTGTTTGTATTTACTATATTTGTATTATTTGTATTTATTAAAAAAGTTAAACAAATTTTTAAAAAGAAAAGAACAGGTATACCATTTACCATCAATAGGTACGCTTCAATTTTCAGATATGTTATGATGGAGCAAAATTCCATGGCAGCTGATCCTTCCTGTGGCCATACATACGTCTATGGCGATTCTCAATCATCCAGGTCATGGATGAGAAGTAAATCATTTTCAAGAAAAAAACAAAGAAAACCAAGTTATCTTTTGGAAAAGCCCCTTTGGGACTACTGTGACCATGCTGATTGTATTGCAGAACATAGAATAAATGTGCATTATCTACAATCACTTTTTCAACATTGAATTCAATCTTCAGTGAAATCTTTCTGTAAAACTTGGTCAATTCATTAAAAGAGAAATGTACTGAATGCAGACCTCTCTTATTTGTGGATCAATTGTATCATGAAAATATTTCATAAGTTTAGGATTTCTCTGTAAATGAAAAAGTGAAAAATAGGAGCATTTTTTTAAAAAAAGAGTTGAGATATTTGAATATATAGGCTAAAAAGCTGTAGTTTTATTGCAGTTCTCATTTTTCCACTGCCCGTTTTCCTTCTTAGTTGGTTGTTCTCAAGAAACTAACAGTCAGGCAACTTGCACAGTTTTCTGCCAGTGATGGAGCTCTGAAGACACCCAAAGATGTTGAGAGTGTGATGCATCTCATAACAACAGCTACATTGACAGAATACATTAACGAATTCAGCAGACAGGTATGACAGCAGATCAGGTGGCATTACATTATAGTAAGGCTGCATTCAATTATATTGATTTTGCAATTCCGTCAAATCTTCTCTCCGAGGTGGGATGTGGGAGGAGTCACTGATAGGGTATTGTTACAGCCCAATTGCCTGGAGACAGGTAAATCTGAGGACAGTCCCTCTGCTCCTCCTTCTGACTCCCCAGATTAACCTCAGTCTTCGGCCTAAGAGGAGCTATTCAGTGACTCTCCGGATTTTTTCTTTTTGGAATTTTTTCGCCTTTGAACCTCCTACCTCTTTTTATTGCACCCCTTACCTGCCTAAGCACGAGCTGCACTTGCTGCAATCTTGCGGGCCCCGAGCCACTGACACCCGGGGGGGCGGGAACCCAGACCTCGCACACCACGGCCGTTCGAGCAGAGAAGCGGACAGATCAACAAGGACATCGGAGGCATTGCGGCAAGAGGAAGGAGGAGCGTTTCAGCCGGAACCACCGCAGGCGATCGGACCGCATGATCGACGGTTGCCATTTGAATCCAAGGGCACATGTATGAGGCTTGGAGGTGTACTGGTCACAGTCACCGCAGCGCCCCAGCACCGCGTGGCAGAGAGGAGTCGTCGGGCCTGAGCTCTGCCGGTTATCCGGAGAGGGCCCAGTGTAGAGCGGTGCACCAGTCTCTTTTCGACCCACAGATCGGCGGGTGGCTGAGAAGAGCGTGGATCCGAAGGAGCGCCGGATCCGCGAATCGCAGAGAGACCCAGATTTATCATAAGAGGAGGGAGGGAGGGAGGGAGGGAGGGAGGGAGAGAGAGAGAGAGAGAGAGAGAGAGAGAGAGAGAGAGAGAGAGA